TATATATATATATATATATATACACACACACACACACACTAGTGGTGTACCCGCACGATGCAGCGCGGGTGAATCACAATTCTGAAACATTAGTTTGACCTTTAATCATGACTTTGTGTGATTATTTTGAGGACTTGTTGGGACTAAAGTATCTTGAGGAAGAGAAGCTACACTTATTTAAATATAAATGTCTCATTCGGATCATTCATCTATTTTAGACAAATTTTCCAGAACTGCAATAAAATCCCGTTTACAGTGTAAACAGCCCCAAACTGTTGTTTAGTTTTCATGATGCACTCATCTGTATATCCAAACTGATTGTCACTCTTGAAAACTAAAGAAATACCTTAATATGTTGGCTATCAGTTCATTAAATTTTTTGCATTTCCTATATCAGACCAAGGAAAATGGATTAATAAAAAAAAGAGTGTAAAAGAGTACTATTATAAAAAGCAGAATTTGGTGCATCCATATGACCATATTGTTGGTTTTTCATATACTTATTAAGGATCTAGTAGGAGTGCTTGCCGGTAAAATTAGTTAGAGTGTTGATTCTTATTAACAAGTGCTTACCGGGTAAAAAAGAAACTCCTAAAAACCTACGAGTATATTGAAAAACCTCTACAAAACATCCTAATATAAAAACCCGCATTATGATGCTTGAGAGACTTGCTTCTAGAACATAGAGATTAATTCCTCATTATGGACTAATTGATACCCAGAAATGTAGAAGTCATTTCAAACAACACACATCCACTTTTAGAGTATAAATGTACTCCTAGGACTAATCAAATTATGAAACAACTTCAAATGTAAACAAATGTAAATGAACATTAACGAACGTAAATGAACAAACATAAACAAATGTAAACAATAGGTGATCTGTCGCTAAAAGCTACCTTATTTTCATTCCCCTGCATACATCAAGGAGCAACATCTATAAGGTTCAAATGATCTTGCAAAAACATGTGCATGAAGAAAATCAAGCATCAGATGATCCATATTCCATATCACRCTTCATATTAGCTCCCAAGACAAAATCATACGTGATTAGCATCACATATCCACCATAAGCCTTTGAGAAATATTCATTGTTTTAACAAATATACCACTATAACGACAACATTTGACTATTATCTATTTGCAAAGTATGAAACACCATTAAGTGACGGCAAATTAGAGGTAGTTTGTGCATTAAAATGGATGTTACCATGTTTTGAAATGATTACTAATGGACAAAGACAAAGTTTGGAATAAAAACATGATCAAAAGGGATAATGTTGCATTATTTTAAAACATTTTCACATTATGATTATTAAAAGAAATTTCAATTCTAACAAATGAAATGATCATTTTAACAGTTCCCCCTTTTCAACTTCTATGCTGGTTAGTTACTTCAAAGTGATATGATGGTAGTGGCTAACATGTACAAAGAGGCTAGCACATATTTGAAAACTTGAATCAGAGTTATATGTTTAACCACTAAAAGTTCATTTCCACCAATTACTATGTAGAATCAGAGTTAACTGGATTATGGCAGCTGTTCATATTAAGTTACCAACCCAACTGAAAGCTTACGCTCATAGAGATGTCGGTCATGTAAAAGATTAAGAAACAACACTCATCGTTTTCCCTGAAGTAGAAACAACCACAGATGTGTGTCCCAAACATGTGGCCAGATGTGTGTGCAGTCCCAAAGATGTGTGTCCCAAACAGAATGCAGTCTTAATTACCAATACTATTGCTTGCTTAA